GGGGGGGGGCAGGCATTTCCTGGGTTGCTAATGGCGACCCCATTACGGACGTGGAGTTGGGCCGGACGGTTCACTGAGAATATATTCAGGCTCTACCGAAACATTGCATATAGGCCTATTTATTAATTATGTCAAACATGACAAAAATGAAACGCAACAACTGACTGATAACATTAGCATTATTTGTTAATTGCTGCGATCAGCGGAGTCGAGAGGTCACTGCAAAGACGTTTTTGGTGTGATTTTTTTTTCAGAAGCCAAAGGGGGGGGGGGGGGGATGGCAGCCCCCTCCAAATCCGTCGGCTACGTCAGTTTTGGCACTGCCGCGTATTTACCGAGCGTCATATTTACATTATTCTCCCGCCACCTTCGTTTTAAACTTCCCCATAATGATAACGTGTAGATATTTTCATATTAGAGTATCTAAACATATTCAAAAATAAAACTTTGTTGAACAATCTTATAAATACTGTTGCTTTTCTTCATTTCTAATCACCAGACGTACATGTTACTATTTTTAGAAAAGAAAAAAAATCCCCTCCGAAGGGCGCAGACCGGTTGACGTCATGGAATAACATGACGTGCTCATTATACAACAATAAATACGTTCTCTGTTTGGGCTACTAGCTAGATGCCAGTGCAGACACACTAGATGATGAGAGCAGAACTATCGGACATCCTGAGGCAGAGAAAGAAACATAAACATAACAGTAGTCATGATCAGTACAAAATATTTACTGTATTTACGCCATCTAGATCTACTTGTGGCCCTAATACTTCCAATCGGACAGATAAAAGCACTGATGTTGAGGTCATCCTTCAAAACAAGCATGGGACCCCTTCTACGCAGTTACATTTCATGCTTTCTAGGACTGTTTTTAGTGGCAAACGTAGGGGCGGAGTATCGCTACATTCCTATTTGGAACGAGGACTATGGTACCATGGTTCAGTGTAGGGATATCCAGTGTGAGAAAGGTAGGTGTGTTGAATTAACTTTGCTAAGTCTGCCTTTTAGCAATAGTCCGAAGGTTCAATAGTCCGAAGGTTCATTGGTCCGAATGTTCACTATAGAACCTTCGGACCAATGAACACTTGATTAAAAAAATCGATGAAAATGTTACCACTTTTCGGACCAATGAACCCTCGGACTATCGAGTCGCCCTCGGGAGAATGATTGAAAAGTCTGGCCCTGACCTGGTGAGTTTATAGGAAGTGTTTGTTTTTTTTTTTTTTTTTTTGTTGTCCCAACACTTGTCCCAAGTTGAAAACTTGTTAACCACCTCCCGTTTGCTTATATTTATTTATTTATTTTTAACCATTGTTAGTGATTTTCGTTCATTTTGTCTTGTCTACCTGCTGTTTTCAGTCGATTGTGAAGTAGGGCGACATAAGTGAAAGAAATTCTAAAGTAGATCGATCTAGTCTCTGGAAATGGGGTCTAAGTCAAGGGCCCGCAAGGATAGCATTTTGTCATTTTTTGGACCGCTTTTTTTACACTATTCTTATTACTCAAACCACAGCTTCAACTGATTTATTCAGTCTGATTCATTGTCTTTTTCAATCATGCAAATAATGGTAATAATGAGCAACCCATGCAGTTTGATCGTTTTTGGTTTTTAATTTCAAAGCTGTATTTTTAAACCACAGGCTTTGGGGACTTGTAGCAGTTTAATATAGCTAATATTTATCTAGATGATTGCATCATGTACTCGTTCGCGCCTTACAGATCCATGACTCATTGTACAACGGTACTATTTGATCACCTACCTATGTATTATCTAATCTTATCTTATACATGTATGAAAGAGGTTTTGCATGGCACTGATCATGTACTGCATTCTACATTAGTCTTAACGGTATCACTTTTTATCTAGATTTGGGCAATATTACAGAATTAGCGCACTAAAGAGTTGAATTTATATCAGTGGGATAGTTAGTATAACAGATTTCTTTAGTTATTTTATAAACACATTAATGCGAGTTTATATATTGGTCTCAGTGAATGCTGTATGTATTTTTTTTTCTGTCTGTCTGCCCGTTTGACAGCGTGCTTAGTCTAGTACTTGCCTGCCTACCTTTCGGTACGTTTTTCGTATTTCCTTTTTTTTTCAAAAGGACGTTTTATTTTGCTGTCAAAACTTTCTTCTCTTTTTCTTTTAAATACCCCAAATTTGTGTTTTTACACAACATGTTCTGCAAATGTGAAGAAAAGTGATTAAAATATTTTTTAAGGACACTAAAGAGTTTAAAAACCTCAATTCATGCATTCAGTGTAATGGAATATAACACAATGAAAAGTGTTTGATTTAGAATATCAATGACGTCAATGAATTTTCTACCTCGTATGCATTTTCTTTATCAGTACGTGATGACTCAACTGTCTCGTAAAGCGGTTTGAATTTGGTCGTTCTGTACGTTTATGACACGGGTTTTTAATCACCAGTTACCGTTCTTCAAATTCCAGGGCAGTATGCCAAACTGTGCACACCTCATGACAGGGATTCGTCACGCTGCGTCCCCTGTGAAGACGGTTACTATCAAGACGATAATGTGAATCCCCTGGGTAAAAAATGCAAACTGAAGTAAGTCACTAAATTCTGAATGGGAACGAAAGGTGTTTTCATTTTGTGATTTTTCACGTTTTATTTGTTCGCGTACGTGCATGTAAGCTTGGTGTAGGCTGCCGGGGGGGAGGGGGAGGGTAAACTATATGGGGATAATTTGAAGTGTAAGTCTTTCCCTTTCTAAAAGTCGATCTGTATTCATTGTACAGGTTGTATACCTTATCCAAAAACGGAGACAAAACGGATTTAAAAGTTTTACCAGTATGTCTCCCAATGGAGATTTAGACTGTTAAAAGATAGAAATTTACATTAAGAGCTCGAAAACAGGTGATTTCCTCCATGGTTTTGTGTGAGGAATGGAGATAAGTTATAATATTTGTATTTTTCGTAACATCAAATATAAATATCAGTATCATATAAATATAATTTTTTTTTAATTTACAGACGACTATGTCTAGATCAGAATCCAGACGTACAGAAATGCACCACCGTCAAGGACCCCGGGAGTTTGACCAAGGATGCGGAATGCTCTTGTCTTCAAGGTTGCACATGGCACAAGTCACTCGCTGAATGCATTCCTGACCCCAGCGTGCTGCCTACCACGTCGCGACCTCCTTGTCCGCCCGATCAAACGACCAAAGAAAATAGCACAGGTGAGGTTACTTAGTATAAATATTATCCATCAAGTGATAAAAAATTATATATCTAGCTCCCTCTTGTTGGTTTTTATTTAATTATATGTTATTTTGATCATCAAATCAATTCATTAGTTAATTTATCTTTTCGTGTTATCTTGATTGTTACCCAGGAATTCTCTTTCTTTTTTCAAGTTTTAGTCCTTAAGAAGTACCCGGTACATGTGACCCCTCAAAATGTCCACGTTCTCAGAAACGTACAAAGTTCACCAAACTGATAAACAAATCAATGAAAATAGAAGTCAAACGAGGCAAATTTCGTCACTTTGGGATGTGCTTTTTTCTTTTTCTTTATTTTTATAACGTTAATCAAATTATTACCATCATGTCTTGGTTGTGTGTCGCGTTTTTACTGCAAATTTGTTAACTGCCTAAATAGCGAAGATAACTACACAGGTTAAAAAGTAGGCCAATTGCCTGTATAAAATTGCCATACGATTATCGCTTTTTTAGTGTGGACCGTTTTATGGGGGAGACACAAGTGGAAGATGTATCAAGGTGCTAGCAAAATATTTCGGTTGCATAGAGTTACTATAAGGCAGAGTAAATTGCACAATTTTAGATATAGAAGTAAAACTAACCCATAGCTCTATAGAACTTTACAGATACCATGGCACTTTTTTATTCCATCTGTCTCTCCCTAAATAGGACAGACCGCGTTAAACTGTTCCCGGGTCACACTCAATTGTTGCAGACGATTCATAGACATGAGAGCCTGCATTGATAAGACTGCACTCTACCGCACAAGATTGCACAAACTTTTCAAGATTTTCCATTGATTATTTTCGGCATTCATGGCTGACTCCTGTCTTGTAAGGAACATCGGATTTATTTTGATGATAATGGTGAACAAGGAGCGGATTTTCCCTGGCGTTTTACCTTTTCTGGATTTGGGCAATATACATTATTATTATTTTTTTTTTCTTTTTGAGGTTTTGAAAATTGTTGTACTTCTTTTTGTTTTAGTAAATATTTAGTAAATATTTGAACGGTAATTGATTATCCAGGCATACACATTGTGTTCAAGCGTCAGTCAGACTGTTGTACACTTTGCCTTAGTATTGAGATACCTTTAGCTTTATTATGTTTGTTATAATGCGCTAAGCGATTCAAACTTCCGAGAAAATCCTTTGTGACATAATTATTATAAGGCCGAGGGGATCCAAAAAGAAAACAGTAGCAGAGTTCCCCAAAGCCGTTCAGTTTTCTTGTCTCCGCTGCGGTCGTTGTCGTTCGTGAATTGACCTTCAAAGTCACCGAAAAACTCACAACGTCTTTAACAAATCGCAAGATTTTTCGTGGTTTCGTTTTGTTTATTTGTTAATCATTTATTTATAGCAAATAAGTTCCTGTCATACATGCACGTTGCCCAGGTGTGTGTTAAACCCCTCGGCGCCTTGTTTTGAAGGATTTGTAACAAAAAGAAATGTCAAAATGAATGCATGAGGCTTGGACATAAATTTGGTATTATGTTTAAGCATGAGGGAAGTGGATGAACTGCTTTTAACTATTATTATTTTGTATTTGTCAGGTTGTTTCCCCGAGTGTCCAGAGGATTTTTTCAAGGACGGTGACAGCTGCAAGCAATACACGAAGTAAGTCCCAGAAAAACTAGAAACAAACATAGTTGGATCCGTTGTGTGTGTGTACATGTGCGTGCGCGCGTGCGTGAGTGCGAGGAACAATGACCTTCCCCTCCACTCTCGTCTTTGGTCTAAGTCTCCCTTCTACATCTTTGATAAAATACATAAAGCATTTAGAGAGTTAAGATTTTAAGAGAAATTTTGAGGTAGATATTTTTATGAAACCGGCCCCGAATAGGTCTTTGGTGATGATATCGGCATTTGTTGTAATGTGCGGAGAAGAGCAAAACTAGCAACCGATACAATGTACGGGGATCTCACCTAACACAATATACGCAATTTTCTCATGTTTCAGTTGTCGGAGAGAGGGGAAGTGTGTGGAAATCAAGGGAAACGCCACCGCCGACAACATCTGCAGCGCAACCAACTTCACAGGTAAAATATTAAATCAATTAAAAAATATATAGACAAAATTAGGACATTATTCGAAGGAATACACAGGTACATTTTTACTTTTTAATTGAAGAAAGACTTTGCATTTAATAATTTGATATATATGTTTAAAAATTATACTTCCGTCAGTCAATTAAATTAAGTTTTTGTTATGGTCGTTTACTCAACATATGCTCTCTATATAATTGAAATGACAAATAATGAAGTCATTTACAGCATATAATTTTTTCAGAGGTATTTTTTCAGTTGTAACCATAGTTTCGTCAACGTAGAAGCTAAACTTTTAAAAATATTACATCACTGCTATTTTATGATTAAGGTGCTAAGTGACACACTGAAATATTGAAGTTCAAATAATCATGAGTTAAAATGTTAATTGTTATTTTGAAAAAAAAATATACTGTAACTTGGAATTCATTCTTTAACTTATGAAAACTCCACATTCAACATGAGTCTGTGCAATTTCTTATTTCAGATTGGACCAAGGACTGCAACCAGACGGGTCCTTCACAGCAGCAGAAGTCAGAAGGGCCTAAGATGCTAATGATTATACTTGGTGTGACGGTCCCTGGGGTTATTTTATGTGCACTAGCCATTATAACTTATTGTGCATGGAAATGGACAACGAACAAAAAGAATGAAGAACAAAATAGACAGGAGATTCTGGCCCGACTGACTAGTGGAACTTTGGAGGGGGAAGGTAATTGGGATTGTACTGGTGTATGATATCATACTGCTACTTTGTCAAAATTCTTCATTTCCCTATAAACGAGGTCACGACTTAGGTTAGGAAAACCTGAAGAGTAAAATGTGTGTCATCTCTCTCTCTCTCTCTCTCTCTCTCTCTCTTTTGAAACTTGCTATCAAAACTTGCAGTATGCACTGATTGTGTTTATTAATCAGCTCCAAAACTACGATTTGCTACATTTAAAAATCGTCCAACTTTTACATAAATTTCAACTTTTTTAGTTCTTCATATAGCATTTGGGATAGTGGAAAATAACATCGGTAAAAACTGGGAGCGATTGGGAAGACGTCTGTTGGAGAATTTTGATACTACTGTGCGTTTTGAAATATATGAAGCATATCCTCGTAAGTTTTTAAACATCACAATTTCTTTTGCAAAAAATACTTTTCTAAAGTAAATAAGTGAATAAGCATGATAAAATTGTTTTTAAAAAATATGTGAATGAATTACCGTGTACGTATAAATATACATAAATGAAACAACTGATTATTAATTTTTGTGTACTGTTGAAACGATGATTAGGTAGATTTTTCAAGGCAGATACATGTATAAATGTCAACATGAGCCAATATAGTTATGAGGTAGATAAAAAAAAGAGGGGGGAGGGCGTCAAGAAAAAATTTAATAAGAGTGAAAAGACTGAGTAATCCCTATAAAAAGGTGGATGATATTCTTGTACATTTCAGCTTCCAGTACACCGCTTGCAGATCGAGTGAACAGAATGCTCACGATGTGGAAGGAAAAACGCGCCATAGACGCCACGGTGGCTGCTCTTATGCAGGCGCTGGATTTTATAGGCCAGGGGAATATATCCCACACCATACTGCAAAAAATTGAAGGTAAGTTGAAACTCGAAAAAGATACATGAGGCATTCAACACTGCTCATGTAGAAGAGGTGTACATTTCCCTATTTCACCAAAAAGTGACATACAGGTAAACCATTTGTCTCTCTCTCTCTCACACACACACACACACACACTACCAATGTTACTGAAGTGACTGTTTTCATAGCAACTCAATTCAACGACCCAGTTTTTGACGTAAGAGGAACTGAGATATGCTCTCCTGGACACTTGAAGTATTTCTTACATACTCTTCAAATCTCTGTATGTACAGTAATATGGTTATTTATAGTATATATTAATTATTTACATTACAGGCGTTAATGTAGGCCTATTTATTTGCCTCATTTGCTGAATAATGGTTCGGAAAGAGACTTTTTGCAAACGAAGTATTGAAAAAATTGGCATTAATTTTTTCCTAACTAATTCTTCAAATGAACATCGAAATTGTAAGTACATCTTCTTTTTTCAGGACTTCTTAGTGAGACAGACAGTACCAATTTTACAGATGAAAACCGAGACTTGGCCGTTCACACGCCTTTGCCGGGCGTANAGATGAATTTGACGGCAAAGCAGCCATATTTTCACGTGGTGATAATACGCATGCGCAGAAAGCTCATTTTCCGCACTCGGAACTACTCGGATGTCTCCGCTGTCGACAATGACAGTATGGAGCTTGCGGAATTAGCCGAGGATTGCCGATTGCATTTTCCGGCAAATTCAATAACGACGTTTGCGACAACCGACTTCCTTGGGGGGGATTTTTTTTTTTTTTTTTTTTTGGAGAGCAGCGAAAATCGGTGCGCGCGCAGGATGTCATCCATAAAAATTAAAAAGTGTGGCCTTATAGCAGAAAAGTTCCTGCCATACATGTACGTTGCCAGTAAACAGGTGCGTGTTGAATCTCTCGCCGCCTTGTTTTGAAGAATTTGTAACAAAAAGAAATGTCACAATGAATAAATGAGGGAACTAGATGACCTGCTTTTAATTATTTAAAATATTTTGTATTTGTTAGGTTGTCTCCCCGAGTGTCCAGAGGGTTTTTTCAAGGATGGTGACAGCTGCAAGAAACACACCAAGTAAGTCCCAGAAAAACTAGAAACTAACATAGGTGGATCCGTTATGTGTGTGTGCGTGTGCGTGCGAGGAACAACGAACCCCCCCCCCCCCCCCCCGCCCTCCACTCTCGTCCTTGGTCAAAGTCTCCCTTCCACATTTATGACTTCATATGAAACTAGTAAAGCACTCCGACAGCGCAGACCTCCGCCAAGGCAGCAATTTATTATTATTATTGATTATTGATCCAGATCACCACCAAAAACTAGTCATCTGTTCCTTGGCCAACTTCATACAGTTCCTGAAAATTTCATCAAAATCGGTCCATAACCTTTTGAGTTATGTTGATGACAGACAAACAAACAAACAAACGGGTGAAAACATAACCTCCTTGGCGGAGGTAATTATGTGGTTCATGAATTAACAACAACGATTGTGAGTAAAAAAATTGATAAAATACATGACACATTTAGAGAGTTAAGATTTTAAGAGAAATTTTGAGGTAGATCTATTTGTGAAACCGGCCCCGAATAGGTTTTTGATGATGATGACGGCATTTGTTTTGTGCGGAGAAGAGCAAAACGAGCGCAACCAATACAATGCACGGTATCTCACCTTACTCGATTTACGCAATCTTCTCATGTTTCAGTTGTCGGAGAGAGGGGAAGTGTGTGGAAATCAAGGGAAACGCCACCGCCGACAACATCTGCAGCGCAGCCAACTTCACAGGTAAAATAATAAATCAATTTTGAGAAATTAACATATAGACCGATTTAGGACATTATTCGAAGGCAGACACAGGTGCATTTTTACTTTCTTAATTGAGTAAAGACTTTGCATTTAGTAATTTGATATTTATGTTTAAATTATACGTCAGTAAGTCATTTAATTTTAGCTTTTGTTATGGTCGTTTACTCAACATATTCTCTGTATATAATTGAAATGACAAATAATGAATTCATTTACAGCATATAATTTTTTCAGTAGCATTTTTTCAGTTGTAATCATAGTTTCGTCAACGCAGAAGCTTAGCTAAACTTTAAAAAAAAATGCACTACTGCTTTTTTATGATTAAGGTGCCAAGTGACACACTGAAATATTGAAATTCAAATAATCATGAGTTAATTGGTAATTTTGGAAAAAAAACTGTAACTTGGAATTCATTTAATTTCTAAAATCTCGATATTCAGCATGAGTCTGCGCAATTTCTTATTTCAGATTGGACCAAGGATTGCAACCAGACGGGTCCCTCACAGCAGCAGAAGTCTGAAGGGCCTAAAATGCTAACGATTATACTCTGTGTGGCGGTCGCTGTGGGTGTTATAAGTGCACTAGTCATTATTGTATGTTGTGTCAAAAAACGGAGGGATAAAAAGCAAACAACGAACAAAATGGATGACGAGCAAAATAGACAGGAGATTCTGAACCGATTGAGCAATAAAGAAGATTTGGAGAGGGAAGGTAATTGGGATTGTAGGGGTTCATGATATACTTGGGGACCATTCCTAGACGCTGTGGATCGAGGCTAAATTGAAATCAACTGAAGCGGCTTAGATGTCTGTCACGCCTACTGAAGCTGCTAAGGGTAATTAATATCGTTAAGCAGCTTCAGTAGGTGTGCCAGACATCTAAGCCGCTTAAGCTGAAAGCAATTTAGCGAGGAACCCTCTAGAGATGGATCGATCCTGATATATCAATCTATGTATGAGAACGCAGTCGTTGTGTATGATATCATACTGATACCTTGTCAGAGTACTTCATTTTCTTATGAAAGAGATCACGAGTTAGATCGGGCTGAGAAAACCTGAAATGTGTCGCCTCTTGCTCTCTCGCTCTCTCTGATCTCTTTTGAAACTTGCTATCAAAACTTGTAGTGTGCACTGATTGTGTTTACTAAACAGCTCCAAAACCGTGATTTGCTACATTTTAAAGTCGTCCAGCTTTTACACGAATTTCATTTTTTCCCTTTTTTAGCTCTGCATAAAGCATTTGGAATAGTGGAAAATAACATTGGTGAAAACTGGGAGCGATTGGGAAGACATCTGTTGGAGAATTTTGATACTAAGCGTTATGAAATATATGAAGAATATCCTAGTAAGTTCAAAACACCACAACTGTCAAGTATTTTTTGGCAAAAATACTTTGTTTAAAAACTAAAAAAAATGTTAACGAATTACTATGTACGTATAAAGACACATAAATGAAGTAATTGATGATTAATTTTTGTGTATTATTGAAACGATGATTAGGTAGATGTTTCAAGGCAGAAACATATATAAATGTAAACATGAGCCAACATAGTTATGGGGTAGATAAAGATAAGATGGAGGAATGCTGCAAGAAAATTTCAACTAAGAATGACGAGAGTGAGTAATTCCTATAGGAAGGTTGGTCATATTCTTGTATATTTCAGCTGTCAGTGCACCGCTTGCAGATCGAGTGCACAGAATGCTCGCAACGTGGAAGCAAAAGCGCGCCAACGACGCCACGATGGCAGCTCTTTTGCAGGCTCTGGATGATATAGGTCAAGGGAACGTATCCAACATCATACTGAAGGTAGTTGAAGGTAAGTTGAAACTTGAAAAATAGATACTTGAGGCATTCAACACTGTTCATGTAGATGAGGTGTACATGTACCCAAATCCACGCGCACGCACGCGCACACACACACACGCACTACCAATGTTAATGATGTTACTGTTTCTATAGCAGCACAATTCATCGACCCAGTTTTTGACCTAACAGAAACTGAGATATGCGGCCCCAGACGCTTTAAGTGTTTTTACATACATTTTCAAGTCTCTGTATGTAACTGCAAGGGGCGTGAAATAGTGGTAGTTTTACAGCAGTACTTTTCGATTATGCATGTATTTATTCATAGTGTGGTTATTTATAGTACATTTATTTATTTACGTTATAGGGCTTCATGTATTATTTTTTCTCATTTGCTGAATAATAGTTCGGAAAGAGACTTTTTGCAAACGAAGTATTGAAAAATAAGCATTCATTTTTTCCAAACAAATTCTTCGAATGAACATGTAAAGACATCTTTTTTCAGGTCTTCTTAGTGAGGCAGACAGTACCGCAGTTACGGTTGAAAACCGAGACGGGGCCGGTCATTCGTCTTCTGTGCCGGACGTACACGAGACCGCAAGACGTCGCGACCATCGTCAAGACAACCTGCCTCCGTGCAAGTCGGTCTCCGTCAACGAAATCAATCAGGGCAAGCAGCAACGTTCGGTAATTATGGCGGCAGCATCTTCGGGAATCGGTCTGTCAAGCTCGGACGCCAAGGTCTCATCGGTGCCAAATTTTGCTCAAATCAAAATGCAGAAGTCACACCAGAGGTCGGGCAGTGATGGGTCGGTGACAAGTAGAGACAGTCTTCTCGGTGAGAGCAAAGACACGGTGGACGAGGAAAGCAAGGTGGTGGTTAAGGAGACGTGTGTGTGATAGACCTTTAAGCAGAGATCTAGTTCTAAGAGAACTTCGTATGCAAGTTGACACAAAATAGCAATGCGAACAACACGGTTGTACTCTACTGATACATGTAGGGCAGAAGACTTGCATGTTTTTTTACCTCATTGTTATATTTATTTCCAATGTAAATGCAAAAATGTTACTTGTTGTATAGTTTTGATTACCTTATTCATATTAATAAGAATATGAGATTAATATGTTGGATATTACTGGTGGAGTCAAGGTGTTGAAGACGAGAGTTCCGATAAGTGTAAGCCACTTTAAAGTTACGGATTATGAACAAGAAGAGCTATTGCTAATGCTTGATTGTAGGTATTTTGAAAAAAAGGAAAAATGAAAATAAGATCGAAGAAGTCGACATCTTTATTGTAAGGGTAAGATATGAATTAAGTGCAACGATCAAAGGGATTTGTATGTTCATTGAAAATATGTTTTGTTTATGTTTGAACACTTTTTGTTGATGATTTGTACATCTTAAAACGAATTTTTTTACATATGTTGATAATGAAAATGTTTTGTACACTTTGATAACGAACTACGCCAGGTTTCTCACCCTCTATTTCTGCAGGTTTTAAACATAACTTTGTTTAATCAAAGCATATGCAGTATCTGAGATCAATGTTTTTTTACACACAAAGAAACGACTAAGAGAACAACGCAATAATATCTTATCTCAATTATAAAGCATGTTACCTGCTTTGAAATTCAGTGTGAGAAAACAAGATTTAGTTTATTACATCGAACAAGTACTATCTGAAATGGTGTACACCATACAATTCAGTCATTAAGAAAATGTTGAAAATGGACTCGGTAGCAAAATTGAAATATCATTTAGAAATGTGAATTGGCCTAATTATGTGGGTTACTAAGTAACAGTAAAGATGTGTTTCTAGTTAACTTGAACAGACCTTACTCGGTCAACTGGTGTCACAACTTAAGTTTGAACATAACAAGGGATTTTATTTGGAGGGGGGTTTGGTCAGTGCAATATTCACGAAGAAAGACGGTGCTTGCGGTGCCATACATTCCAGATAGTACTTGATCTCGTGTAACAAAGGACGCTTATTTAAAGAAAACAATATAATGCCATTTGTTAACGACATGCATGCACTGGACATGCCCAGTAGTGAACACGAGAACCAAGAAAAAGACGACAATTCTTCAGTGCATTAAGTGCTTTTTCTTTTTTTGTTAAAGAGTTGTCGTCTTCTTCTTGGTTCCCGTGTTCACTATTGGGAATGTCCAGTCCATGCATGTCATTACCAAAGGGTATTGTATTGCATAAATTATTATTATTATTATTATTATTAATCTTGCAACCCGAGAGTTGGATAATTACAATCATTGCATCATAGTTGAATAAAACCACTAGTGAATAAAAATAAAGGGATATTAAAAGACATACGTAAACAAATTTAAAACAAAGAAACTAAAAAGCAAGGTTAAAAAATGAAATAAAAGTCTATCAGTTATTATTTTAATCATTTAAGGTGCAATCTACATGTATACAGAAGCAAGTTTATGGACAGACACAGGGCACAGTGTACATGAAGGTCCTGTGGAAGTTGTTAAAGATTTCGTGTATGAAATATATTTGCAGTAAACGCATGCATAATATGTGACCCGCTGTTATAAGCTCTGTATACGCTTGTGCCCTCTTCATTTTGTATTGTTTACTAAACGTATGCTAGTATTTTGCCAAGCCGTTATTGAAAAATTAAATTAAAAATTAAATTAAAAATATGTCTCACTGTAGGATAAATGGCTACACAGAACAAAACACACGGAGGCTTGCTAAATAAACACGTTTTGTTTATAGCTACTTAAGTTAGTTAAATAAGATAAAATCACACAGTTGCGTAGTATNTTGAAATATCATTTAGAAATGTGAATTGGCCTAATTATGTGGGTTACTAAGTAACAGTAAAGATGTGTTTCTAGTTAACTTGAACAGACCTTACTCGGTCAACTGGTGTCACAACTTAAGTTTGAACATAACAAGGGATTTTATTTGGAGGGGGGTTTGGTCAGTGCAATATTCACGAAGAAAGACGGTGCTTGCGGTGCCATACATTCCAGATAGTACTTGATCTCGTGTAACAAAGGACGCTTATTTAAAGAAAACAATATAATGCCATTTGTTAACGACATGCATGCACTGGACATGCCCAGTAGTGAACACGAGAACCAAGAAAAAGACGACAATTCTTCAGTGCATTAAGTGCTTTTTCTTTTTTTGTTAAAGAGTTGTCGTCTTCTTCTTGGTTCCCGTGTTCACTATTGGGAATGTCCAGTCCATGCATGTCATTACCAAAGGGTATTGTATTGCATAAATTATTATTATTATTATTATTATTAATCTTGCAACCCGAGAGTTGGATAATTACAATCATTGCATCATAGTTGAATAAAACCACTAGTGAATAAAAATAAAGGGATATTAAAAGACATACGTAAACAAATTTAAAACAAAGAAACTAAAAAGCAAGGTTAAAAAATGAAATAAGTCTATCAGTTATTATTTTAATCATTTAAGGTGCAATCTACATGTATACAGAAGCAAGTTTATGGTGAGACACAGGACACAGTGTACATGAAGGTCTTGTGGAAGTTGTCAAAGATTTCGTGTATGAAGTATATTTGCAGTAAACGCATGCATAATATGTGACCCGCTGTTATAAGCTTTGTATACGCTTGTGCCCTCTTCATTTTGTATTGTTTACTAAACGTATGCTAGTATTTTACCAAGCCGTTATTGAAAAATTAAATTAAAAATTAAATTAAAAATATGTCTCATTGTAGGATAAATGGCTACACAGAACAAAACACACGGAGGCTTGCTAAATAAACACGTTTTGTTTATACCTACTTAAGTTAGTTAAATAAGATAAAACAAAATCACAGTTGCGTAGTATTTCTCACTATGGTTAGGTTAGACAGCATTGCATATTGAGACGCCCGATTATAAATTCGCTTATCATTTAATTATATTTGAATAAAATTATTTGTTAAAGATAAACAGAGTTCGTATATTTGAAAATTGACTGCTGTATTTATTCCTGTTTGCATATGCGTTGCCTGATAACAAGGTGCACTGGTAGTCTGTTACAAAAGTGTGGAACACAAGAATATTTCGAGTAATCAACAGGAACACATTCCTAGCCGGACATACCCTTTATATTTGACAGCGGAGGGGGGGGGGGCGTTACACGTACAGTAGGCGCAGAGTACAACATCCCTATGATACGTAATGCATATTTAAATTTTTGTACACTATTTAAGAAGCCCACGATATCAAAAGATAGCGAGAAGTCTCAGACTTGGTCCAGATATACCCTCTACCAGGACGACAGGTTGATTTTTCACAGATATGTCTCTAGATAAATAGACAGTCATTTTGGTCTGATGTCAAAACACAATCGCCTCAGCAAAAACTGTCCACAAAAATAGAGGGTAGAGGGTAGTCCAGACAGATCTACCCGGCTGAGTGATTACACTCAACCCTACAATTATCTACTCTCTGACCACAGGGTGCGCTAGTGGTCTGGTACAAAAATATTGAAAATCAGCGTGATTATGTAGCGTATTTTAGGGGGGCTGATAACAGAGGGTAACAATATCCTTCTGTACTGCAGTGCCACTGTTTAGGGGGCGGGTAGGGGAGGTAGTTTCATTGCACCAGACTGTTAAAGTGGATGTTTTCCCACACGGGCTTATACCTAAATTTTGTATATTATTTTATTGTACAAGCCCCTGACATCAAAGGATACATTAATGTTCCAAGGTCGTCTCTATTGTCTTGTGCCATAGGGGGCATTCACATCCACACATCGTACTAGCTGGATCGGCCCAACTCTGCGGAGGATACTAGCTGAAGTGCAATCAGTGGAATCAGCTTAATCAACAAACTATAGTTAATTACTCCCTATAGCTGCTCAAGGAGACGAGTAAGACAATTAAGCTGATTCCTCTGATTGCACTTCAACGAGAATCCCCAGCAGAGTTGGATCGACCCAGCTAGTGTGATGTGTGAATCTGAATGCGCTCATAGACGCATTTCCCATAGACACTATCGGGCTACGTAGTTCAACCCAACTCTGCGGGAACCGCAAAGTGCAATCGGCCTAACTGAATGACACTCCACCTCTTGTTTCCAACGTATAGTACTTGTATAATCACCAGCTCTTCTGTATTCTGTATTCTACTTAACCCCAGGAGGGCTCGTGTTAATCTGTTAAACTGATTGCATTCAGCGCAGAGTCCCCGCAGAGTTGGATCGATTTACTAAGACCGATAGCCCTAAGGTAGCCCTTGAGTTGCACAGGTGGCATACATGCAGTTGTTGTACACAATAAAGTGGCTCAGTGGACACATGTTAAGCCTCTCTTCTGGTCCTCAAATCAAGTTCGGTCCCTTCGTTCTAAACTGTTTACCAGAGGCTCTGTTCTGGTCCTACACCTGTACCGTGTAAATGTCCATCATGACGTGTTCAAACGTGTTCCCCAAACGTGTCCTTGGCTGACTCTCTTTTGGGCCCCAAACATTTTCTGCGGTATAGTCTTCATTTGGAAACCTGCCAGTATGACGTTCGGGGGAGGGGAGGGGATTAATCACTTGCAGTTAAGCAACTCAACTAACGGTCATTTGGTTGATTCGCGAGATCAACAGACTAGCTGGCTATTATTTCACAGCATAAATTGAAAGATATAAATTGCAGAGTAACCTTGTGTCGCAAGGATACTACTTATAATTATTTATTCCCTTCATGCTCCCCCCCCCCCCCCCGGGGGTCACTTGTAATTAATACTCCGTATCTTGATTAATGTGGAAGAATCGAAAGATGAAAAGAGTGCGCAGACGTGCTTTTGACAGGTCAGGTCACGAAGTAACGGATACGGCATCTCAGGCCACAAAATATGGCTTCACATGGCAGTGAACAAACTCGAGAAATTTCCCTCTCCGACAAAATTCCGAGCATATATAGTCACCCTGCTTCCTACATGTCTTTACAACAATTCATTACTAACAAAGCTCCGTAGGATCGAGTATTTAAATTCACAGATTTCGGGCATTAAAGAAAATTCTGTGGTTTCTAGGGGTCAGTTTGTAAGATCAAAATTCAGGCCAGGGCGCTGTTCTGAATCTTTCCCTTGAAGTGGTAAATTGAAACGGGGATGTTAGCCTTTAATTTTGCCCAAGGGAGTACGGCGTTGTGTAACAGTAAATTGCATTGGTATGCATACTTATACTACGTAGTTATACTGGATCTGTCCTCTACCATTAGTCGATCAAATCGCCACAATATCTTTGGTCAGAATATCTTCACTGTACGCTCCTAAAGCAATATAATTGAGATGGTAAATTGTCATCCTGTAGAAAAACATCTCTTAAACATTATCCGAATGATATGGGATATATAGCTTGTGAAGGCCTAGGTATAAATACCAACAAGGTATGCAGCACATCTCTAAACCAGCCCCGTCAAACAAACAAACATTATGGTCAGTTGCGTCTTAGTTTAAATGCAGTCAAACAGGCAAATAGGCTTTAATTACGAATATAATGCGCGTTTATTAATAAACTTTGTTTATTTTAGATCCGCTGATTCGAAAATAATATAATCCATTTCTACTACTTGCACAAAACGCCTACATTTTGGCAGTTTTATAATGACCATACCTAAACCCTAAATCCTGAAAATTGAAAAAAAAAATTCTGAAAACAAAACGCGTAAAAGAATACAGTAGCTAGACTATCCTTCATAGGGAGCTCTTTACATAAATTGCAGTATTAATATATTTATAAAACGTATGCAGTAAAAATCCATTATACTGTGCCTATATAAAGGACTAAGTTCTGATTTTTAAAAGCTCTGAATCACTATAGTTCTTGACAGTCCAGTGGACATTTAGGAAATTCACGGGAATAAACGCGTCCATATGAAAATAAGAGCTTAGTTATACTAACTTGAAACGGAATAAAGAACTCACGATCATGATAGTGAGTGAGTAGCCCCCCCCCCACATACATGCACACAATCACCATGAATGTACGTATATATACAGGTAACTGTCTTAAAAACAAGAAGCAGAGAACGCCATAAATATTGTAGTAGTATTAAGCATCCTAAAAGTAGTCACGCATCAAAACTTTTGTATTCTTTAAAAAATATGAGAATATATTATAGCAAATATAATACAATTTTAAGTAATTGAAATGCATTTCTTTCTAACATTCAGTTTACGCACGTTTTTTGGTAGCCTCTCAAAGTTTTAAACCTCACATATTGGAGACCATAATAGAGTCAGCCAAGGACACGTTTGGGGAACACGTTTGAACTCGTCATGATGGACATTTACAGGTGTAGGACCAGTACAGAGCTTCTTGTAAACAGTTTAGAACCAAGGGACCGAACTTGATTTGAGGACCAGAAGAGAGGCTTAACAGACGAACAAACAGACGGGAGGAGAAAACGTATTGAGTGTAGGGAGATCCAGTGTGAGAAAGGTACGTTGAAATAACTTTGCTAAGTTTGCCTTTTTAGGTGGGGTAATTGATAATTCTGGGCCGGACCCATAGAGTTTACATACGGGAGTATTTTTTCATCTTTGTGGTCCCAATACTTTATCGGTCTAGTTAAAGATTGTTTAATCACCCCCATTGATTACATTTATTTATTTATTTATTTATTTATAACCATTGTTACTGGTTTTTATTAATTTTACTCTTTTTTGTCTACCCGCTGTTTTCAGTCGATTGTGAAGTAGGGCGACGATAAGCGAAAGGAATTCGGCTTTATGCTTGTATAACTGTACAATGTATTTTACATTTTGGGTTATTTAAAAGAATTATGAAATATTATCATATCTATATCAGATCCATAGTTAAAAGGTGGTTATCATAATCAAAATCAGTTAACACTGCTTCTACTAGTACCTAGGTGTCCTAAATGCACCAGTAGTACATTGACAATGAACTACCAATGTCACGAATATAAACAAATGTCCCAGTAAACGTGGCGATTCCCTGCTTTCCCCTAGCTGGTGGCGGGAAAAGTAACTATACATTTACATACACATCCAGTTTTATTCATCGTCTTGTTCTATCATGGTATATAACTCGATCTCGCCTTGAATCGCAAATGCAAATAATGCTTTTAATGAGCAATTCATGCAGTGTGACTTTTTTTTTTAATTTCAAAACCACTTTTTTTAAACCATAGGGCTGGGGATTTGTAGCTGTTACGGCTAACATTTTTTTGTAGCTGATTGCTTCACTTTGTCTTTTGCGCCGTCGAATCCATGACTAATGGTGCATCTGTACTATTTTGTAACTTACATGTATATATTATCTGATCTTGGTTCTGAATTGACCCCAGATAGGATTTACATGGCGTTCGTCACGTACTACATTTAGGTCGCATTCAGGGCAGATGATCCGCGGACTACCTGATCCGCGGCCTAAATATGGCCGACCCCACTTATGTGTCGTCCCAATGGAGCCGAGATTTAATGACTGTCCCCCCGCAGGGACGACGTGTGGGGAGGCGTGAGAGAAGCGGAGAGACTATTAAAAGATTAGGCGGTTTTTCTTTCATGTACGTCCGCCATATTTAGTCCCCAGGATTTGTAAAGCCTGGCTCAACTCGTTTTGAATGCGATCATAGATATGTTAGTCCACGGATCAAATTGTTCTGAGTGCGCTTTTAATTTTTATGGAGTCGTATCTTAATTTAGAACTCAGACTGTATTACAAAATTAGTGCAATTAAAGTCGGATTTATATCAACGGGATAGTTAGTGTAACAGATTTCATGAGTTATTTTAAACTTTTTAATTAGGTAATGGACGTGTTCATTTATATTGCAGAGCACTGTGAATCTGCTCAGGTGTGACAGGAATGGTAGTCCTTTAGAAACCGTAGTCCATTCCCCATAACTTTGTACAGGTGACATTCGTCCCATATACAGTACTAACCCAGTACTCCAACTAACCCTAACCCGTACTAATCACATGGGCCCGGACTTCCATTCCTAGGACTTCCATTCCTGTCACACCGGGAACGTAATCAATGCTATCTATTTACAGCGCGGCAGCCAGGTCAGTTCATTGATCAATAATATGCATTTTTTTTTTTGGGGGGGGGGTAATTATTGGTATGCATACCTCATAAAACGAAACTTATTCTCTTTTACATTTTACCTAAATTATTGGCAATCCCAGCATTTTAATTTATTTGGTTTTTTTTTCAAACCCAATATTTTGTTTATCTCCACCAAATTCCCTTACTTAAAACTTAACCCATGATTTAACTCAGGATGGGCAGGGGGGAGGTATTTGCTTCTCTCGGGAAAGACAAAATGCAAGCGGACGGAGAATAATTTACATTTTCAAGCGAAGTATCAACGTGGTTTAGGAACATGTCAAATGGTTTTGTTTGTAAACAGTTGACGGTTGATTTTCAGACATTCCTAAAACATGACTCGGCTATGACATTGATATCTATTCAAATCCGTTAAAAGTCCCTTTTGTTTAGACTAGTCTAGTAAAAGAAAAAAATTGCCTTTTCTGGAGTGCCCTTTACATTGTGCTGTAACAGTGTCTCGTCAAAATTGTTTTTAAGGGGCACCAAAATAATCATTTGAAGTTCAAGACACACGATATGATGACTGAGAAGGTGAAATTTTGATTTTTTGCAGTACATAGCTGGCTACTTCAGTTTTTGCACTGCCACGTATTTAGTTGGCCATTCACATTATTCTCATGCCATCTTCGTTATGAACTTCCCCATTTACCCCGTAACGTCTATATGTTTTCATCTTATCTAATTCTAAACATGTATGAAAATAAAACTTTGCTGAACATAAAACACTTTTTTTTTATTTTATTCGTATTAATCACGCCCTTGTACCTCCTTTTGCCCTGACATCGATCTGGGACAGCACGGCTGATTCACTTAGGACTATGACACACACACAAAAAAACCTGCACACTTTAAATTAGGTCACACGATATATATATAGATATATATATATATACCCATGTGGTCACGTCCAGTCACTAGTAGACACTGATGCCTGCAGAGAAACGATACACACAGGAGTACCAAATCAACAGAAAGGGGAGATATCGCAGAAATTGTGGACTTCGAGTATTGCTGGATTACTACTTTGGGATCGGGAGCTACATATTTTGACAGTGTTTTAGTAGCGGAGCCGGACTGTGATTTCAGACATCAAGACATAATATAAGGCCTACGTTTTAGTCGCGATCAGCGTCCCAGTTTTTAACCCAAGACGGTTTGGTGTGATTTTTTATATTTTGGGAGATACAGTCATTATCAATCGACTAATTAAATTAAAGATACCTTTGTTGGACGTCAACTAGGTCTACTTGTGGCCTTAATACTCCGTTCGGACAGACAAAAGCACTGACGTTGAGGTAACCCTTCAAAACAAGCATGGGTTCCCTTCTACGCAGTTACATTTTAGGCTTGCTAGGACTGTTTTCAATGGCAAATGTGTACGTAGGGGCAGAATATCGCTACATTCATATTCGGAACGAGGAAAATGGTGAAATGGTTGAGTGTAGGGAGATCCAGTGTGAGAAAGGTACGTTGAAATAACTTTCAAAAGTCTGCGTTTTTTTAGTTGGGGTAATTGATAATTCTGGGCCTGACCCAGACAGTTTACATAGGGAGTGTTTTTTTCTTCATCTTTGCGGTTCTAACACTTAATCGGTCTAGTTGATGATTGTTTAATCACACACGTTGATTACATTTATTTATTTATAACCATTGTTGTTGATTTTTATTCACTTTGGTCTTTTTTTGGTTTACCCACTGTTATCAGTCAAGTTTGAGGTAGGCTGATGTAAGTGAAAGGTATTCGGTTTTATGCTTGTACATGTACAACTGTACAATGCATTTTACAGTTTGGATTATTCAAAAGAAGTATGAAATCTAAACGTATTAAAAAAGTGTTAATCATCCTCAAAATCATTTTTAACTGTTAGAGCATTTGTTCTAATTAGGTGTCTTAGCCTAAATGTAGCGTATGGACAATGAACTACCTGTGTTACGAATACCAGCAAGTGTAGGCAAGAGGTTTCCCCGCCCTTTCTGCACGACACTAGTTGCGGGAAAAGTAACTATACGTTTCAAGCCTAAAGTTAAAGGACCCGCAAGTGGTTATGCATATATAGAGCTCCTAAATTTGCGATCGCATTTTTGATACTCTTCTTATAAGCCAAACGCCAGCTTCAAGTGATTTATCCAGTTTGATTCATCGTCCTTCTAGATCTCAATCATGGTCTATTACCTCGGTCTAGCCGTAAATCTCAATTGCAAATGGTTGCAATGAGCAATTCATGCACTTTGATCAGTTTTTATCTTTAATTTCAAATCTGTATTCGTAGCAGCTATGGCTAATATTCATTTTATAGATGATTGCACCATTTTGTCGATTGCACCATCGAATCCATGACTAATGATGCAACGGTATTATTCTATAACCTACATTTATTATCTTATCTTGTTCTGGATTGTTCCCGGAGAGTTTTTGGCGTTCGTCATGTACTACATTTATATGGCCGACCCCACTTATATGTTACACCCCATTTCCATAGATTAGATCGACCTACTTAAGATCGACCTAACTCCCTGGGGGTTCACGCTAAATAGCTGTCAGCCGGGCGGACACGAAAGTTAATAACCTCCTTGCAGCTTGTAGTAGGCGGGACGGACATTTAAGTCGGATTAACTGAAAGTAATCTAGTGAGACTCCCCGCGGGGATAGATCGATCTAAAATCTATGGGAATAGAGCCTAGTCTGCGGATCAACTTGTTCTGAGTGCGCTTTTAGTTTTTACGGTATCAGATTTTACTTTAGAACTAGGACAATATTACAAAATTAGCTCACTGAAGAGTCGAATTTATATCAATGGGATAGTTAGCACAACAGATTTCATTAGTTATTTTAAAGGCATAAATGCGTGTTTATGTATTGGTCTCAGTGAATGCTGTAGGCCTATGTATTTTTGTCTGTCTACTTCCCCCTCGCTTGTGTCGGGAAAAGTAACTATACACTTCAGGCCTAAGTTAAGGCCCCGCAAGGAAACGTATTATATCATTTTTAGATCCCTTTGTAAACTATTTTTATTATTCACACGCAAGCTTCGACTGATTTATCCAGTTTAATTAATCGTCTTTCTGAATCATGGTATACATGTATAACTCGATCTCGCCGAGAATCTCAAATGAAAATAATGGTATAAATGAGCAATCCAAGCAGTTTGATCGTTTTTAATTTTTAATTTCAAAACTGTATTTTCAAACCACGGGATTTGGGGATTTGAAGCAGCTATGGTTAATATTCATTTTGTAGATGATTGCATCGTTTTGCCGTCGTGCCGTCGAATCCATGACTTATGGCACAACCGAATTGATTTATAAACCTACTTGTATTATCTTATCTTGTTCTGGATTGTTCCCGAAGAGGTATAACATTGCGATTATCATGTTCTACATTTAGGTCGCATTTAGAACAGATGTTCTACGGCCTAAATATGGCCGACCCCACTTATCTGTTGGTCCGCGGATCAACTTGCTCTGAGTGCGCTTTTAGTTTTTATTGTGTCATATCTTAACTTAGAACTCGGACAATATTACAAAACTACCACACTATACATGTAGAGTCGGATTATTATCAATGGGATAGTTAGTGTAACAGGTTTCATTAGTTATTTTAAACGCATTTATGTTTATGTATTGATCTCACTGAATGCTGTATGTATTTTTTTTTCTGTCTGTCTGCCCGTTTGACGGCGTAATTACTCCAGTACTTGCATGCCTACCTTTCGTTACGTTTTTTATTTCATTTTTTTAAAGACGTGTTATTTTGCTGTCAAAACTTTCTTCCTGTTTTCTTTTATAAATACCCCAAATTTGTGTTTTTATACTACGTGTTCTGTACATGTGAAGAAAAGTGATAAAAAAAAGAAAAAAAATGGAAAGTGTATGATTAAGAATATCAATGACGTCAATGAATTTTCTTTTTCTCACACACATTTTCTTGATCAGTACGTGATGACTCAACTGCCTCGTTAAGCGGTTTGAATTTGGTCGTTCTATAGGTTTATGACACGGGTTGTTAATCATCACTTACCGTTCTTCAAAATTCTAGGGCAGTATGCCAAGCCGTGCACACCTGATGACAGGGATTCGTCACGCTGCGTCCCTTGTGAAGACGGTTACTATCAAGACGATAATGTGAATCCCCTGCGTAAAGAATGCAAACTGAAGTAAGTCACTGAATTCTGAATGGGAACGAAAGGTGTATTCATTTTGTGATTGTTTCACGTTTTATTTGTTCGACTGTGTACGTTTGTGTGTGTTTGCCGTAGGCTCAGGGGGGGGGGGGTTAAAATATTTATGGGGATAATCTTAAGTGTTAGCCTTTCCCTTTCTAATAGTCGATCAAAACCTTTGATTCTTCCATAAATCTTTTAAAAAGCGCAATGTTAAAAGGGACAAACCTCGGCAATATATTGAAGCTAGCTGACGCCCCTAAAACCACACACTACGTTAGACTTTTGCACAGCCAAATATTTCTTCTGGAAATAAATTTCGATATGTGTCCCGGTTAATGTACAGCTTATATACCATATCCAAAACCGTAGACAAAACGGTTTTAAAAGTTTTACCAGTATGGAGATTTAGACTGCTAACAGTTAGAAATTTGCATTTAGAGCTCGAAAACAGGTCTATAGATCGTGATTTCCTCCCCGGTTTCGTGTGAAAAATGGAAATTACTCATAATATATATATTTTTCTTAATATCATATAAATATCAGTATCATACGTTAATATCAATATCATAAAAATTCATTTCGGCGTTATATGTTTTTTATTTACAGAAAACGTTGTTTGGATCAGAATCCAGACATAAAGAAATGCACCACCGTCAAAGACCCCGGGAGTTTGACCAGGGACGCGACCTGCTCGTGTCTTCAAGGTTGCACATGGTACAAGTCACTCGCTGAATGCATTCCTGATGACCCCAGCGTGCGGCCTACCACGCCACGACCTTCTTGTCCGCCTGGTCAAACGACCAAGGAAAATAGCACAGGTGAGGGTGTTTGTATTTGTATATCCATCAAGTGATAAAAATTATACATCTCCCTCTTGTTGGTTTTTATTCAATTATATGTTATTTTGATCATCAATCAGTTCAGTTATTCATTTATCTTTTCATGCTATCTACATTGTTCCCCAGGAATTCTCTTCCTTTTTTTTACAAGTTTTAGTCCTTAAGAAGTACATGTAACCTCTCGAAATATCCACGTTCTCGGTAAAGTACAAAGTTGTCCCAATTGCATTCACCAAACAGATAAACAAATCAATGAATATAGAGGTCAAACGATTTGCTTTATGCCCCCTTTCACTCACAAATTTCGTCACTTTGGGGCGTGCGTTTTTCTTTATCTTTATTTTATAACGTTAATCAAATTATTACCATCGTGTTTTAGACCCGTATCACGTTTTACTGCAAATTTGTAAACTGACTAAATAGCGAAGATAACTACACAGGTTAAAAAGTAGGTCAATTGCCTGTATAAAATTGCCATACGATTATCGATTTTTTAGTGTGGACCGTTTTATGGGGGAGACACAAGTGGAAGATGTATCAAGGTGCTAGCAAAATATTTCGGTTGCATAGAGTTACTATAAGGCAGAGGATATTGTACAATTGTAGGTATAGAAGTAAAACTAACCCATATCTCTGTAGAATTTTACAGATACCATGGCACTTTTTTATTCCATCTGTCTCTCCCTAAATAGGACAGACCGCGTTAAACTATTCTGCTCCCGGGTCACACCCAATTGTTGCAGACGATTCATAGACATGAGACCCTGCATTGATAAGACTGCACCCCACCGCTCAAGATTGCACAAACTTTTCAAGATTTTCCATTGATTATTTTCGGCGATTCATGGCTGACTCCTGTCTTGTAAGGAACATCGGATTTATTTTGATGATATTGATAATGGCGAACAAGGAGCGGATTTTCCCTGGCGTTTTACCTTTTCTGGATTTGGGCAATATACATTATTATTATTATTATTATTATTTATTTATTTATTTTTTTTTTTTGAGGTTTTGAAAATTTTTGTACTTCTTTTTGTTTTAGTAAATATTTAGTAAATATTTGAACGGTAATTGATTATCCAGGCATACACATTGTGTTCAAGCGTCAGTCAGACTGTTGTACACAGCCTTAGTATTGAGATACCTTTAGCTTTATTATGTTTGTTATAATGCGCTAAGCGATTCAAATTTCCGAGAAAATCCTTTGTGACATAATTATTATAAGAAAACAGTAGCAGAGTTCCCCTAAGCCGTTCAGTTTTCTTGTCTCCGCTGCGGTCGTTGTCGTTCGTGAATTGACCTTCAAAGTCACCGAAAAACTCACAACGTCTTTAACAAATCGCAAGATTTTTCGTGGTTTCGTTTTGTTTATTTGTTAATCATTTATTTATAGCAAATAAGTTCCTGTCATACATGCACGTTGCCCAGGTGTGTGTTAAACCCCTCGGCGCCTTGTTTTGAAGGATTTGTAACAAAAAGAAATGTCAAAATGAATGAATTATTTTGTATTTGTCAGGTTGTTTTCCCGAGTGTCCAGAGGGTTTTTTCAAGGACGGTGACAGCTGCAAACAATACACGAAGTAAGTCCCAGAAAAACTAGAAATAAACATAGTTGGATCCGTTGTGTGTGTGTGTGTGTGTGTGTGCATGTGCGTGCGCACGTGCTTGAGTGCGAGGAACAATGACCTTCCCCTCCACTCTTGTCTTTGGTCTAAGTCTCCCTTCTACATCTTTGATAAAATACATAAAGCATTTAGAGAGTTAAGATTTTAAGAGAAATTTTGAGGTAGATATTTTTATGAAACCGGCCCCGAATAGGTCTTTGGTGATGATATCGGCATTTGTTGTAATGTGCGGAGAAGAGCAAAACTAGCGCAACCAATACAATGTACGGGGATCTCACCTAACACAATATACACAATCGTCTCATGTTTCAGTTGTCGGAGTGAGGGGAAGTGTGTGGAAATCAAAGGAAACGCCACCGCCGACAACATTTGCAGCGCAGCCAACTTCACAGGTAAAATCTTAAATCAATTAAAAAATATATAGACAAAATTAGGACATTATTCGAAGGAAGACACAGATGCATATTTACTTTCTTAATTGAAGCAAGACGGTGCGTTTAATAATTTGATATTTATGTTAAAATTATACGTCCGTCAGTCATTTAAATTAAGTTTTTGTTATGGTCGTTTACTCAACATATGCTCTCTATATAACTGAAATGACAAATAATGAATTCATTTACAGCATATAATTTTTTCAGTAGTATTTTTTCGGTTGTAATCATAGTTTCGTCAACGCAGAAGCTAAACTTTTTAAAAAATTTGCACCACTGCTATTTTATGATTAAGATGACAAGTGACACACTGAAATATTGGAGTTCAAATAATCATGAGTTTAAACAATTTAAAAATTGTTAATTTGGAAAAAAACTGTAACTTGGAATTCATTCTTTAATTTCTAAGATCTCGATATTCAACATGAGTCTGTGCAATTTCTTATTTCAGATTGGACCAAGGACTGCAACCAGACCGGTTCTTCACAGCAGCAGAAGTCAGAAGGGCCTAAGATGCTAAAGATTATACTTGGTGTGACGGTCCCTGGGGTTATTTTATGTGCACTAGCCATTATAGCTTATTGTGCATGGAAATGGACAACGAACAAAAAGAATGAAGAACAAAATAGACAGGAGATTCTGGCCCGACTGACTAGTGGAACTTTGGAGGGGGAAGGTAATTGGGATTGTACTGGTGTATCTGTATGATATCATACTGCTACTTTGTCAAAATTCTTCATTTCCCTATAAACGAGGTCACGACTTAGGTTAGGAAAACCTGAAGAGTAAAATGTGTGGCATCTCTCTCTCTCTCTCTCTCTCTCTCTCTTTTGAAACTTGCTATCAAAACTTGCAGTATGCACTGATTGTGTTTATTAATCAGCTCCAAAACTACGATTTGCTACATTTAAAAGTCGTCCAACTTTTACATAAATTTCAACTTTTTTAGTTCTTCATATAGCATTTGGGATAGTGGAAAATAACATCGGTAAAAACTGGGAGCGATTGGGAAGACGTCTGTTGGAGAATTTTGATACTACTGTGCGTTTTGAAATATATGAAGCATATCCTCGTAAGTTTTTAAACAGCCTTCANGATCGTGATTTCCTCCCCGGTTTCGTGTGAAAAATGGAAATTACTCATAATATATATATTTTTCTTAATATCATATAAATATCAGTATCATACGTTAATATCAATATCATAAAAAATCATTTCGGCGTTATATGTTTTTTTATTTACAGAAAACGTTGTTTGGATCAGAATCCAGACATACAGAAATGCACCACCGTCAAAGACCCCGGGAGTTTGACCAGGGACGCGACCTGCTCGTGTCTTCAAGGTTGCACATGGCACAAGACACTCGCTGAATGCATTCCTGACCCCAGCGTGCGGCCTACCACGCCACGACCTTCTTGTCCGCCTGGTCAAACGACCAAGGAAAACAGCACAGGTGAGGGTGTTTGTTAGTATATCCATCAAGTGATAAAAGTTATACATCTCCCTCTTGTTGGTTTTTATTCAATTATATGTTATTTTGATCATCAAATCAGTTCAGTTATTCATTTATCTTTTCATGCTATCTACATTGTTCCCCAGGAATTCTCTTCCTTTTTTTTACAAGTGTTAGTCCTTAAGAAGTACATGTAACCTCTCGAAATGCCCACGTTCTCGGAAAAGTACAAAGTTGTCCCAATTGCATTTACCAAACAGATAAACAAATTAATGAATATAGAGGTCAAACGATTTGCTTTATGCCCCCTTTCACACACAAATTTCGTCACTTGGGGCGTGCGTTTTTCTTTTTCTTTATTTTTATAACGTAAAAAAATCATTACCATAATTTTTTAGACCCGTATCACGTTTTAACTGCAAATTTGTAAACCGACTAAATAGCGAAGATAACTACACAGGTTAAAAAGTAGGTCAGTTGCCTGTATAAAATTGCCATATGATTATCGATTTTTTAGTGTGGACCTTTTTATGGGGGAGAGAGAAATGGGAGAGGTATCAAGGTGCTAGCAAAATATTTCGGTTGCATAGAGTTACTATAAGGCAGAGTATATTGCACAATTTAAGATGTAGAAGTAAAACTAACCCATAGCTCTATAGAACTTTACAGATACCATGGCACTTTTTTATTCCATCTGTCTCTCCCTAAATAGGACAGACCGCGTTAAACTGTTCTGCTCCCGGGTCACAGACGATTGTTGCAGACGATTCATAGACATGATAGCCTGCATTGATAAGACTGCACTCTGCCGCTCAAGATTGCACAAACTTTTTAAGATTTGCCATTGATTATTTTCGGCGATTCATGGCTGACTCCTGTCTTGTAAGGAACACCAGATTTATTTTGATGATAATGGTGAACAAGGAGCGGATTTTCCCTGGCGAATTTTACCTTTCCTGGATTTGGGCAATATCCATAGTTTGTTATTGCATCAATTTATATTATCGCTGTTACAAAAAGTAGGTTGATAATAAAAAATGAAGGTGATAAATATTTTTGTTACAGTACCGTGTCACACTGTAGGCCATGGATAGGGAGCTAGTTTCTGCCCCGCCCCATCCCAATTTTTTTAAAAATAAAAATTTCAAGGATCTTTACTTATTGCTAGTATTTTATTTTACTTTATGTCACTTTTATTTTATCTCCTGTCAGTAGCAGAGTTCCCCAAAGCCGTTCACTATTCTTGTCCCCGCTGTGGTCGTTGTCGTTCATGAATTGACTTTCAAAGCCACAGAAAAACTCACCGCGTCTTTAACGAATCACTTTGTCGCTTTGAACGAATCGTTTTGTTTATTTGTTAATCATTTATTTATAGCAAAAAAGTTCCTGTCATACATGTACGTTGCACAGGTGTGTGTTGAACCCCTCGGCGCCTTGTTTTGAAGAATTTGTAACAAAAAGAAATGTCAAAATGAATGCATGAGACTTGGACATAAATTCGTTATTATGTCCAAGCATGAGGGAAGTGGATGAACTGCTTTTAACTGTTATTATTATTATTTTGTATTTGTTAGGTTGTTTCCCCGAGTGCCCAGAGGGTTTTTTCAAGGACGGTGACAGCTGCAAGCAATACACGAAGTAAGTCCCAGAAAAACTAGAAACAAACATAGTTGGATCCGTTGTGTGTGTGTGTGTGCATGTGCGTGCGCGCATGCGTGAATGCGAGTAACAATGACCTCCCCCTCCACTCTCGTCTTTGGTCTTAGTCTCCCTTCTACATAAAATACCTTCATATGAAATTATTATGAATTAACAACAACGATTGTGAGTGAGAAATTGATAAAATACATAAAGCATTTAGTGAGTTAAGATTTTAAGAGAAATTTTCAGGTAGATCTTTTTATGAAACCGGCCCCGAATAGGTCTTCGGTGATGATATTTGTTGTATTGTGCGGAGAAGAGCAATACGAGCGCAACCAATGCAATGTACGTACCGGTAGATCTCACCTAACACAATATAAACAATCGTCTCATGTTTCAGTTGTCGGAGAGAGGGGAAGTGTGTGGAAATCAAGGGAAACGCCACCGCGGACAACATCTGCAGCGCAGCCAACTTCACAGGTAAAATATTAAATCAATTTTGAGAAATTAACATATAGACCAAATTGGGACATTATTCGAAGGCAGACACACGTGCATTTTTACTTTCTTAATTGAAGAAAGACTTTGCATTTAATAATTTGATATTTATGTTAAAAATTATTCGTCAGTCAGTCATTTAAATTTAGCTTTTGTTATGGTCGTTCACTCAACATATGCTCTCTATATAATTGAAATGACAAATAATGAATTCATTTACAGCATATAATTTTTTCAGTGGTATTTTTTCAGTTGTAATCATAGTTTCGTCAACGCAGAAGCTAAATTCGGAGTTCAAATAATCATAAGTTAAATTGTTATTTTGAAAAAAAAACTTATACTGTAATTTGGAATTCATTCTTTAATTTATGAAAACTCCACATTCAACATGAGTCTGTGCAATTTCTTATTTCAGATTGGACCAAGGACTGCAACCAGACCGGTTCTTCACAGCAGCAGAAGTCAGAAGGGCCTAAGATGCTAAAGATTATACTTGGTGTGACGGTCCCTGGGGTTATTTTATGTGCACTAGCCATTATAGCTTATTGTGCATGGAAATGGACAACGAACAAAAAGAATGAAGAACAAAATAGACAGGAGATTCTGGCCCGACTGACTAGTGGAACTTTGGAGGGGGAAGGTAATTGGGATTGTACTGGTGTATCTGTATGATATCATACTGCTACTTTGTTAAAATTCTTCATTTCCCTATAAACGAGGTCACGACTTAGGTTAGGAAAACCTGAAAGGGAAAATGTGTGGCATCTCTCTCTCTCTCTCTCTCTCTCTCTTTTGAAACTTGCTATCAAAACTTGCAGTATGCACTGATTGTGTTTATTAATCAGCTCCAAAACTACGATTTGCTACATTTAAAAGTCGTCCAACTTTTACATAAATTTCGACTTTTTTTTTAGCTCTGCGTATAGCATTTGGGATAGTGGAAAATAACATGCGTGAAAACTGGGAGCGATTGGGAAGACGTCTGTTGGAGAATTTTGATACTACTGTGCGTTTTGAAATATATGAAGCATATCCTCGTAAGTTTTTAAACATCACAAATTTTTTTGCAAAAAATACTTTTCTAAAGTAAATAAGTGAATAAGCATGATTAAAATGTTTTTAAAAAATATGTGAATGAATTACCGTGTACGTATAAATATACATAAATGAAACAACTGATTATTAATTTTTGTGTACTGTTGAAACGATGATTAGGTAGATGTTTCAAGGCAGATACATGTATAAATGTCAACATGAGCCAATATAGTTATGAGGTAGATAAAAATAAGAGGGGGGAGGGCGTCAAGAAAAAATTTAATAAGAGTGAAAAGATTGAGTAATCCCTATAAAAAGGTGGATGATATTCTTGTACATTTCAGCTTCCAGTACACCGCTTGCAGATCGAGTGAGCAGAATGCTCACGATCTGGAAGGAAAAACGCGCCAGAGACGCCACGGTGGCGGCTCTTCTGCGGGCGCTGGATTTTATAGGACAGGGGAACATATCCCAAGCCATACTGCAAAAAATTGAAGGTAAGTTGAAACTTGAAAAAGATAGATGTCATTCAACACTGCTCATGTAGAAGAGGTGTACATGTACCCATTTCACCAAAAAGTGACATACAGGTAAACCATTTGGCTCACAGACACACACACACACACGCACACACACACGCGCTACCAATGTTACTGAAGTGACTGTTTTGATAGCAACTCAATTCAACGACCCAGTTTTTGACGTAAGAGGAACTGAGATATGCTCTCCTGGACACTTGAAGTATTTCTTACATACTCTTCAAGTCTCTGTATGTACAGTAATATGGTTATTTATAGTATATATTAATTATTTACATTACAGGCGTTAATGTAGGCCTATTCATTTGCCTCATTTGCTGAATAATGGTTCGGAAAGAGACTTTTTGCAAACGAAGTATTGAAAAAATTGGCATTAATTTTTTCCTAACTAATTCTTCGAATGAACATCGAAATNAGTTAAATAAGATAAAACAAAATCACACAGTTGCGTAGTATTTCTCACTATGGTTAGGTTAGACAGCATTGCATATTGAGACGCCCGATTGTAAATTCGCTTATCATTTAATTATATTTGAATAAAATTATTTGTTAAAGATAAACAGAGTTCGTATATTTGAAAATTGACTGCTGCATTTATTCATGTTTGCATATGCGTTGCCTGATAACAAGGTGCACTGGCAGTCTGTTACAAAAGTGTTGTGTGGAACACAAGGATATTTCGAGTAATCAACAGATACACATTCCTAGCCGGTCATACCCTTTATATTTGACAGCGGAGGGGGGGGGGGGGGGCTTCACACGTACAGTAGGCGCAGAGTACAACATCCCTATGATACGTAATGCATATTTAAATTTTTGTACACTATTTAAGAAGCCCACGATATCAAAAGATAGCGAGAAGTCTCAGACTTGGTCCAGATATACCCTCTACCAGGACGACAGGTTGATTTTTTCACAGATATGTCTCTAGATAAATAGACAGTCATTTTGGTCTGGTGTCAAAACACAATCACCTCAGCAAAAACTGTCCACAAAAATAGAGGGTAGAGGGTAGTCCAGACAGATCTACCCGGCTGAGTGATTACACTCAACCCTACAATTATCTACTCTCTGACTACAGGGTGCACTAGTCTGGTACAAAAATATTGATAATCAGCGTGATTATGTAGCGTATTTTAGGGGGGCTGATAACAGAGGGTAACAATATCCTTCTGTACTGCAGTGCCACTGTTTAAGGGGCGGGTAGGGGAGGTAGTTTCATTGCACCAGACTGTTAAAGTGGATGTTTTCCCACACGGGCTTATACCTAAATTTTGTATATTATTTTATTGTACAAGCCCCTGACATCACAGGATACATTAATGTTCCAGGGTCGTCTCTATTGTCTTGTGCCATAGGGGGCATTCACATCCACACATCGTACTAGCTGGATCGGCCCAACTCTACAGAGGATACTTGCTGAAGTGCAATCAGTGGAATCAGCTTAATCAGCACACTATATAGTTAATTACTCCCTATAGCTGCTCAAGGAGACGAGTAAGACAATTAAGCTGATTCCGCTGATTGCACTTCAACGAGAATCCCCCGCAGAGTTGGATCGACCCAGCTAGTATGATGTGTGAATCTGAATGCGCTCATAGACACAATTCCCATAGACACTATCGGGCTACGTAGTTCAACCCAACTCTGCGGGAACCGCAAAGTGCAATCGGCCTAACTGAATGACACTCCACCTCTTGTTTCCAACGTACTTGTATAATCACCAGCTTTTCTGTATTCTGTATTCTACTTAACCCTAGGAGGGCCCGTGTTAATTTGTTAAACTGATTGCATTCAGCGAGAGTCCCCGCAGAGTTGGATCGATTCACTTAGACCGATAGCCCTTAGGTAGCCCTTATGTTCCACAGGTGGCATACATGCAGTGGTTGTACACAATAACGTGGCTCAGTGGACGCACAGGTCGCTTAATGTTAGTGTTAGAGCGCATTCAGAACAGCGAACTAACAGATCCGCGTTTCAAATATTACTGACCCACTTGAATGCTTGTTGTGTAATCCCCGCGGGGAATTTATTCAGTGTCTAATCGGGAATTAAGCGGCAGGCTTTTTAATGGGTCGCCATATTTGATCCGCGGGTCTGTTAGTCTGCTGTTCTGAACGGGCTCTGATATAGCCTTGAATTGTGTCTAAGTCATAATCCGACACACAGAAACATTACAGATATTATTGTTAATAGGAAACATAAGGGTGTTTACACAGAGACACGGGTTTCTGGTGCTGTCGTCCCTTCAGCGTCCTCGGTATATCTTTGGTCACACAAGAGAGGCACAAAGCGGTGATAAAGTTAGCAGTTCTGGGTTAAGAAGGACTTACTCTTCATCAAGGCGAAGCATACCTGTGCATGTATCTGTACGGTGTGATCTCTACCAGTTCCACAGGTTGAAGTTTTCTCACCCTCTGATATCACAAGGCCCTCTGGTACAGATCACAGAGATGAAAGAGATTCAACAATTTTGTAATTAAGAGACTTCTAACGACCCCAGCGAGGAGATTCTTCACTAAATATTCACAGCCTTAATTGTCCCTTGTCTGCCTGGAGTTAACGTCATCGCTCAGTGGGCAGTGTGGAGGGGGTTCGCAGCGGGTGTTGATTGTTATATATAATACGCATACATACAGGTATCTCAGATAAAAGAATGCAGGAACTGGCCTTGACCCGTGTTGGCTATTAAGCGTTTGACCGCAATGTGTCCACTGCCATTCTAGTTCTTACATTGCGGAGATTGAAAAATTGTAGTCTATATTAAGTCATCATCAAGCACTTCGCGGTCTTAACCAAGAGACAGCAAATGGCTAACGTCGTACAGAGTCTCTTCCAGTATTTTTCAACTGCCGGCCTGCCAACAGTTTTGATATTCGTGGTAGTGCTGTTGTTAAGTCTGTGGATGCTGTCGTCGAGGAATCCTCGGGTGAACTGGCCGCCCGGACCTCTCTGTTTCCCCGTGGTGGGATGTCTCCCACAGATGATGATCAGCGGTAGGAGAAGACAACCTACGGATCTTCTTCCATGGTATGATACATACGGAGATATCATGCACGTCAAATTTGGTGAGCAACACGCGATAATGCTGGGAACTTATGAACTGATCCAAGAGGCTTTCGTGAAGAATGCAGCCACAGTCAGTGCTAGACCAACATGGATATATCGTTTGAGTCGAATAGTTGGGAAGGACGGTAAGCACGAGATTTTAAACTACCAGGCAGGCACACAGGTACCCTGTAGCCCTAGGATTTTGCCCTAGGATTTTGATTTTTGGTGGTGGTGGGGGGGGGGGGGGCAAAAGATTAAAAATGTTGGACAGTAGCCTAGGACAGTTAACAGAAACTAAAAGAATGCCACTTTAACCACACGTGAAAGTAACATTTTTATAGTGATTTATTCCCGCAGCACACACGAAGTTCATATATATATATATATATATATATATATATATATATATATATATATATATATGTATATATCGTGGTATCCTAATTAAACATTAGGGATTAATCAGTTTCCTCATGTTATTTAGATTAACTTGAGTAGGTCATTTTCTAGAGGTTTGTTTTCATTCATTGGACAATTGATAAATTACATTCCTTAAAATTTTATTACTTTAAATCCTCAAGACAAAAAAAAATATTAGACCGAACTACATACTTGTTATGTTGGATAATTCTAGACGGATAGGCTAGTTAATTTGGATGATAATGTCTTGGGCATCAAAGCAAACTGCACCTTTATTACCTAATTGGGGCGCCACTCTGGAGTCAAGGGCTTGAGACGGCCAGTGGACCGTGGTCCATCCCCCATTATTTTGTGCTGGTGACATTCGAACACAGTGGAAGGCGGGTGATTTCACACAAACTGTCCGGTGTGACAGGAATGGTACCCTGCGGGGGTACAGTCATTAAATCTCGGCTCCATTGGGACGACACATGGGAAGGCGTGTGAGAGGCGGAGAGACTATTAAAAGATTAGGCGGTTTTCCTTAGGGCCCTCTTTCACACAGACCACGAATCCCACGAATCGCCAGGAATTGACAAATTTCAGGATTCGTGAGGATTCGTGAGATTTTGCCAATTTTCTGGTCTAATTCGACACACTCACGATTCAGTTACGATACAGGTGCGATAGTGTTACGAATATTCATGGGATTCGGCTGGAATCGCACGAATATTGTCCAGAAATTCACTACGATTATTTGGAATCGTGAGTTCGTGGCCAAAACTTTGAACAGCTCAAACTTTTTGCCACGAATTCCCGATTGATCAAGAATTGAAAGAACTGACTACGATTATATACGAATCTGTTAAGAACTTCACGAACTGATTACGATTCAACCACGAATCCTGAAATTCTCAATTCCTGGCGATTCGTCGGATTCGTGGTCTGTGTGAAATAGGGGCATCAAAGTTTTTGCCACAAATTCTTGTTGGTCAAGAAGTGCAAGAACTGACTACGAATATATACGAATCTGTTAAGAACTTCACGAACTGATTACGATTCAACCACGAATCGTAAAATTTGTCAATTCATGGCCATTCGTGGGATTCGTGGTCTGTGTGAAATAGGGGCGTTACATGTGCGTCCGCCAGTTTTAGGTCGTGGCTTTGTAAAGCCATGGCTCAACTCGATGTGAATGCGGCCATACACTTACCCCAATAATGCGACTAACCCCGACTATCTCCGGACTAACATTCCAAAGACTATCATTCCCGTCACACCTGAGCCTGTGTAACTCAAGAAGAGATCAGATGATCAAATCTGATGGCTTAAGATACTCTTAGTAATGGCTCAATCTTATTATTATCAGAAACAAAATTGTACATATAATTTATCGCGTGTTCATCTGGTGTTAATATTAATTAAGCTAGTGTGTGCAGAAAGAGAAAAACGTAAATTGTAAGGATGCACACATGTATATAAAGAAGTTATACTGGCTAACAAATTGATAATTATATAAACTGCAGGGGCTGGCGTTATATTTAAATCCGGGCACGCATGGAAAGAGCTGAGGAGATTCACGCTCTCGTCTCTTCGAGATCTCGGCCTCGGGAGAAAAAGTTTACAAGAAAGAATTCAGGATGAAGCTCGATATTTGGTACAAAACATTGAAGATGAAAATGGGAAGGCTTTCTGTCCCACTGGAAGGATTGGGAAAGCTGTCAGCAATATTATCTCTATCATTGTGTTTGGAGCCAGGTAAACCAAAAAAAAAAAAAAAAAAACTTCTCATTGTCCATTTATTGTTAAAATGCAAATAATGACTGTTAGTAGAAAGTGAATATGCTGCAGGTACCGGTACTTAAAGGCAAAAAAAGTTGGAAAAAATATTACGACAGCCTTTTGTTGAAAAAACATTACAATAGAATCGATTGATATTTTTACAGAATGTAAAGAGCACAAAGTAATCTGAACCACCGTGTTATAACTTTTTTATTTAAAAAAGGTCATTTTGTTGCCAACAATTTCAGAAATGACTATAATGACACCCCAGAAATGCTGCCAGTTTTGGAGCAAGCCATAAGGACTGGCCAGGGAATACTGTCCCTCACTAACTTGTCGCGCATTTTACCGGTAAATAATTTCTTTATTGTCTTTTTATGTGTTGTTCATTTTACCTATTCATTTTTCATTTTTCATGTTATTACTTTAATATATATATAATATCCAGTTATTCTTAATCCTAATTTGAGCATTTCATTTAATAGAAGTGGCATAAAATGTCACTAAGCACAAGGCTGTCGTTTGATTAATAAAATTGAATAATTGTAATTACAGATGAAAAAGGTATTCGCTCTCATTGACAAGCTATATAGTTTGATACGACAAGAAGTCGAACGTCACCGCCAGTCCTTTGATCCAGCTGACATCCGGGACTTCATTGACCTCTACATTAAGGTCACACAAGATGGACATGATCCCGAGGTCTACACAGGTACGTACCAGGTAACTGTTACAGGTCATGTTAAAGAACCTGTCTGAAACCGGTTTCATTTGATTTACGTGACGAATAAAAAGTGAGTAGACGTCTAGTTACATTTTCCCAAAGAAATAGTAAAAAATATTTTTCAGTCTATTAACTATTTCAGAATGGAACGTATTTCGCATCATCGTTGATCTATATTTGGCTGGCACCGACACAACAGCGAATACTTTGAGATGGTCCCTGGTTCATATGGTAAATCATCCGGACGTTCAGAAGAGGGTGCAACAGGAAATTGATCAGGTAACAACAAATATGGTGACAGATAGAGAAAGAAGGCTATTTGGGGTGCCAAACTATTGGCATTATTAGCAGTTTATGGCTCTATTCCCATAGATTTTAGATCGATCTATCCCCGCGGGGAGTCTCACTAGATTACTTTCAGATAATCCGACTTAAATGTCCGTCCCGCCTACTACAAGCTGTAAGGGGGTAATTAACCTTCGTGTCCGCCCGGCTGACAGCTATTTAGCGTGAACCCCCAGGGAGTTAGGTCGATCTAAAGTAGGTCGATCTAATCTATGGAAATGGGGTGTATGTCTATTTTACTAGATCCACGGTTTTATCGGCATTATATTTATTGCCGTTTTATTCAAGGTCATAGGTCAAGATCGCGTTGCCAAGATGGAGGACAAGGAAAGGATGTCATTTACGGAAGCAACCATCCTGGAGGTCTTTCGTATGTCACCGGTTGGTTAGTAGTTTATTTGCATTTTATTCTTGAAATTCAATTCTTAGTAAGATTCTTCGTCTCCCTAGTACAAAAAGGGAAAATTGGTGACTTTCACTCGTGACTTTACATTTTGCAAATTTGGAGCTCACTGAAAAGTTTATGGATGGTTTTTTCTCACCCATTTTGAACAGGAAATGATAGGTGATTATAGGGATCTTAAGCCAAATATACAAACCCAATGCACCTCGCACGCCTGCAAAATATATGAAAACAAACTATTATTTAATGCCATCAGCTCCTTTTGGAGTTCCCCATGCCACCAGTGAAACTACCAACTTGGCCGGACACACAATTCCCAAGGGGACCATGATACTGGGAGATTTGTACCGGGTTCTCCACGATAAGAATAACTTCGAGGATCCTTACAAGTTCAAACCAGAAAGATGGCTGGATAGCGATGGGAAAGTGATCAAGTCGGACAAACTGATACCGTTTTCTATGGGTATGCAGCAGTACATGTGTTCTATTCTTAAATCCATTATATCTCATAAGTTAAAAAGACAAATAATAATAATAATAGTAATAATTATGATTATAATTGCACTCATGCATCAACATAAAATAACTGTCTTATATATATTGTAAATGTAAACATCATACCTCAACCGACTCTATTACGCAAACCACAGCCATTAAAATGACATAATTAAACTCATTGTAGTAGAAGGTCCTTAGTTCGATTCAGATCAGGCCATATTCGGACTAAGTAAACCTAAACCAAGGATGGGAGTACTAAAGATCTATATTATTTATTTCATTTTTATTTTTCAATTCATTTTAAATGCTCCTGCTTTATTCATTTATTTATTTATTTCAGGACCCCGTATTTGCCTGGGCAAGGGACTGGCGGAAATGGAATCGTTCATTTTCTTCACCACGTTGCTTCAGAATTTTACCTTCAAAGTACCAGAAGGCGAGAAACCACCCGATGGAGTAGAAGGCCTCAACACGTTCACTTTCACGCCATACCCCTACAACGTGTGCGCTGTTAGACGCTAGAACGGAGATACACTGTACCTTACTATGAATGTACCGGTTACTACTTGTACATGGACAACAGTATCTGTATAAATACATCAGATAATCCGAGTCTGACACGTGACTGTCAGACTGACGGTATCTAAACTAAAATACTTCGTTTAGTCTCGAAATGGTTTTCGTGCTTTTCCTCTTGGCAATAACGTTTTTAATGTATCGCTGCAAAGAACGTCGTGCAGTTGTTTAAGTATATATTGATCAATAGATTCGTACTTTGAAAACCATAGATACGTGCACTGGGGCGGATGAAGATCCTTTTCTGCAATGTGCCTGAAAGGATTATTCTTTTAATGAGGCGGGGAAAGTTTGATTGCTCCAAGAACTGTACACGTTACAAGTAATAGTGCTCATGCCAACTAGTGTACAGAGGTATACAGTGTATGTACGTATGAGTATCGTATGTAAAACTGATTATACGCTTTTTTCAGCGTATGAGAATAAACGTATAGCTATAAACAGCGCATGAGTTTGTTTTTGAAGCTTATCAAAACATTTCATCTCCCCCGCGTATGAAAAGATGTATACAACGAAGGCCGAAGTACCCTTTGCGTTGCGTAATTTTCCTCACACGTTTGAGTGCGACATTACCTTTTAATACATCGACCCAGTTTTTGACTTTTAACTGCAGGCAGACATGGCACATCTAGGTTTCTGGTTGAATGTTTATATACGTGTTTTCTCCCACTGAAGGCCTGAAAAAATTTGCCACTATTATATCTTTCAATTATGCCGTACCTACCACACAAAGCAAGGTGTACTGTATGGGTGGGGAAGAGTCCCCTTCTCTCTTAAGCCAAGCAAGATGGGTTGTACGGGTGAGGAGCAGTCGCCTGCGCTCTCTCCACTTATTTGCTCATTTTCCTCGCTACCCTACCATGATAAGGGACTGAAAGGGGGAGAC